GAACCACCGCAAGCTCTCAAAGAATACGTGATATAGAATGAGCTGCAAAGTTAACTGAACAAATGCCTTCGCAGGTGGTGCATAAAACTAAAACGGATTTTGAAGCTCATGCTTTCGAAATGAGAAACAAACAGACCGATAGAAAAATCCCACGAAATCGACAATTCCTATTGGAAAATCTGAGCTGTTCGGAGAGAACTCCTTGAGTAGACTTTAGATTGAGATTGGACACGTCCAATCGGGGTACGCGCGCGCACAGTTGCATTAACAATGACGCGCACAGTTGAATTAACGATAACGCGCACAGCTGAATTAACGATGACGCGCACAGTTGAATTAATGATGACGCGCACAGTTGAATTAATGATGACGCGCACAGTTGAAGTAACGATGACGCGCACAGTTGAATTAATGATGACGCGCACAGTTGAATTAGCGATGACGCGCACAGTTGAATTAGCGATGACACTTGCCGTGGAAGTATGACCACCGCTGGAAGCCAGCCCTCCATGACGTGGTGTGCCAAGGAGGCGATTAACGAAGACCAACGTATAACAGCCCCGTGTAAAACAGCGCAGAGGCTTGTTTGCTTGTGTCAGCCTACATACCGAGAAGCTTGCGTTCATGAACAGGCCTGTGTGAACCCACTGGGGAGCCATGTTGGTTCCTCGAGGCGGCCCACGTTGGCCCTCGTGGCGGCCCACGTTGGCCCTCGAGCCGGCCAGTAGGGACCGGCGAGACGGCTACTGAGGGTCTGGTGCCGTCGAAGCGGCAGCCAAGTGGGACCGAGTGGCGCCGCTTGTCCCTGCACACACTGCATGCCTAATTTCCCAGAGGGCCACCAGTGGCGGCAGTCGGCTCCGCTATCGACGCTATAGAGGGGTGTTTTCAGCTAGGTGTTGGCGGCGTTCCCCGGCATTGATCGCCCCCTGAATGGTCGCATATCATGCTCGTATTGTGGTGGGAGACCGATGCCGCTCAATGCACGCACGCTCGATGCCGGCAGCGGCCACGTTTGAAGCACCGGGTGTATGTCCGGGATCCGTGGGAAAGTTCGTGAAGCGTTCGCCGCCAAGCACATGTCGCAGAGAGATCCGTGATTGCGCAACAAATGCTAAAGCCATCTAAAACAGAAGAACAACCCACATGTGAGCTGGTCTCGTTATCAGCGATGAAAACACTTTCCGGATTCGTGAATAAGATTGAGTGTTTTCCGAAATAAGCATTTTACTGACAAATTCATAGCACGTTACTAAGTCATTACAGGAAGCGTTCCATATTTTTATCGTTTTTTTAACTGAGATAGCCATTTTAAAGATTATTTGTTGCAGTTCAGAGCCCTCCTCTTTTTAAGACCTAAACCACTCTTGTTTTTTAGCTATACGCCTGTGAAGATCTGCAGACTACGTTCAGGACACTATTTAAGGTCAGCCAGGCAGCCATGACGCCATTAAGCGTCATTGAAATTTTGCCATTATATTAGCCATGAGACAATCAAGACCAAAGCAAATGTCACTGCGGAGTCGTTTTTATCTGGCGTTCGTGAGCATGATTTGCGGATAAAACTGCCGGCGATTGGTTCTCAATCAGTGTTATTCAGGGTACGATGACTAATCAAACAAGGACGCATTGAGGATCGCGTGTAGTAAGCAGAGACATCGTGTTGTCTTCAGTAGCCTTTTCCACATAAAAGAAGTGTCAATAGTTCGAAGTGACCTTATTTCATCATGTCTGGTGCTTGCTTGAATATCTCCAAATGTGGAAGCAACAGTTAGCCAATCCATAACTGCACAGGTCTTAGCATCGACTATGTGCTGTTGGTGGCATGAACAATATAGTGTCGCAGACATCAGCACAATATCGTTTGCTATAAGTGTTCCCAGCAATATGTAATGAATGATGTATTTCTTATCTAGAGCGGCACATCATTGTTTGCCAAATCCAAATGTTTCGCTGCATCCACCTGTGAGGGAAGTGTTGGTAACTGTTTGTCCTTGAAGTTTTGTTAGCAATACAATCTACTTGGTAAGACTGTATTAATAGCCTTTTTCCTCGAAGAAAAACAGAAGAATGAAGTAATAGATGAGTTGGAATTTCGGCAACGTACCTTTATCGAAACAATAGAAGAAGTCTATGTGTTGACTTCGGCTATTGTTTCGATAAATGCATGTTGCCGAAATTCCAACTCATCTATTACTCCATTCTTCTGTTTCTTCTTCGAGGAATAAGGCTATGAATGCTACGTTATCTATGTGAATAATGTTCCTCGCTAATGCACTGAACAACTTAAGTTAAATCTTCTTCATCTGCCGCCATCGGCTACCGGAGGTCAGAAATACATTCTGTACATCAGGCATCCAAATTTCAGCATAGGCGCGAATATGTGCTTGGCATGCTTCTAGTTTCGTTATATCTATTGCAATTAGTGCTACAGTGCGGTACATCCCTTGGTGTGGCTATAAACGATCGAATGCATATGTCACGTCTGCTATGTTAATCGGGCCTAAATTTACGGATGTAACATATTGGGTTGCAAACATGCGTCATTTTGATAACACCGTCGGTAGATGTATGTATGTAACACGTAATCATTCCTTACGATATTGAAAATAGCATTTCATGCTTTTGACATAGAGGCAGTGTTCCACATTTGTATGGGGTTTAGATTTAAAACAGCTATATTTAAGAGCATTCGGTGCAGTTGACACCCTTGCCCTTCTTAAAATCTGAAGCTCTCTAGCTTCTGAGCTCCACGCCGCGAAGATATGCAGGCTTGTTCGTTCTGACTACTTCAAGGTTACCCAGGTATCCATAATGCCATGATAACTTCATTCAAATCCTGCCACTTTACTGGGCATGCGGCGTTCATGGTCATTGAAAATACAGTTGCCGAGTCGTTCGCATTAGGCCTTCGCGAGCACGATTTCCAGATATAATGGCTGTCAATTGGCTCTCAAACAATATTGTGCAAGCTCGCAACATTCTAACACGACTTGTACTTTGCACCCCATAATGCAAAAGGTCAGGCATTCTTCCTAGTTATTACGGAATTAAGACTTGTGATCGATTAACACGCGCCCGGGTGGCCGGCTAGATACCCTTCGCTCGGGTAGGGGTCAATTTGACCCTCTCCTGAGATCTTGCGAACTAAGAAAGCTAGAGACACCAAATTTACAGCGTGTTTTGACCTGTACGTGAGCTCACTTAGATTAAAGTTTGAACTTTCTAGGTCATGACCTTCGGGTCAAATAAGGTCAAACAAGGTCAAACTCCAGGTTGGTCTCCAAAGTGCCCCCAAAACCTACTAGGCAACGGTTTCTAAACAAAGTTCACAAGCCCATTTGGGGTCAGTGACCTAGTTTGGCCTTTTGAAGATCATGGTGTTCAAAATCACACAAGACTGCTCTGAGTTTTGCATTTGAATAAGCGACAAAGATTTCGTTAGGCAGTATGTTCTTAAAACAAAATTTCGACCCGGCCTATCTTGGGTCAGTGACTTGTTCTAACCTCTAAGAAGTCAAAGGAAGATGTATAATGCGGTTCCCGCTGTCAATAAATTCGAAATGAGCACCAGAAGCTATCTCATGCAGCAAGTTTTAGAGTAATAAATCAGGTCGGTTTTGAGCTCGGTCTGACCTTCATACCTGACCTCAGGGCAACGTAATTTGTTCATTCAATATTTATGGTGCCTAGGAAAGCATCTCAGAGATGTGTGGCTTTGTCAAACACCCCGTTGTTATATCTGATTGAGCGATTTCCTAGAAATTGCCTTCGCAGAAACCATGGCCTGACTTTGACCTGCCATAAGTCAGCGACCTTACAAGGTACACCTGAATTTTTATGTTAAACGATTCGCTGTTCAATTGTCTATAGTTCTGCAAAATTTGGCGCGGCTACGCCGAGCCGTTCGGAAACCATTCTGGAAAAACCATCCGGGTGTCAATTTGCCCCCCCCCCCCCACCCGAGCGCGTACTAACTCAAGAAAGAGCGATAACGGAGTATGCAAACACAAGTAATCATCTTACACTCACAAGAACACCACAAAAAAGGGCCAGGACACGAACACATTACAATATTTGGCTCAGCAAATACTTCCAGTCCGTGCTGCCATTTTTCCGGGAGATTGAAGAACTGCAAGTGAGTGTTGTCACAAACGTTTCACGACGCAATCAAATGGAACGCGCGCTGAGGAACATATAAACTAAAAAGAGAAATTACGCCGTCTAGAGCAGTTTTCTGTTTAAAGGTAGACCTATCGTTATAAGTGAGCCTTTTCCATCATATATGTCTGCTGCAATACATTCGAGTGTTGAAAATGTTATTTAATAAATGGTTCGCAAAAATGAACTCGGCGGATGTTCGCACGTACATCAGCTGGATAGTAAGGACTCGTTGCTTGGAATGGCAAACTACAAAGTTCATTGGCGGAAAACTGCTTAAACAACCTGGCGGAGACCGGTCGCCAAGGGGAAAATATAAGGGAACAAAAAGAGAATTTCGTTTGAAGTCACAGTGGCTAAACATTTGTATGAACTTACGTGAAGAATCATCTACATGACGTACGATTCGACGGGGCCTGACTCATCATATGCAGTCTCAACACCCGGGGGTGTTCAAGCAGGGAAAAGCTTTCAGCCATGAATCAATCGCGCGGTTGCCATGCGAGCCGCCACTCAAGCACCGCCTGCTATTCACTGCCGCAACGTCACCATCCCCCGAGACATCCAAGTCGCCGCCGCCCTGAATGCCAACGCCGTTGGAGGCCGCACAGGTCCCCGCGGGCCGGGAGTCGGACCATATTTACCCCCATTAGCAGTGTTCAGGAGCGCTTTCGCGCCGGGCGCCCGGCGCGGTCGGCCTGAAAGAGTCGCCTGTTTGGCGGGCGTGTCGCAGCCTCGAACGGGACGCCGGTGGCGTCTTACACCAGAGCGGTGACAGGCCGCGGCGGGCTCGCTATCGACCCGACGTTAGTGTGCGATGCGATCGGCAGCGTGTTTACCTCGGGTGCTCGTTGCGCTGACCGCGGAGGTGACGACGGCGAGTGATGGCGTTAAGCGCGGCGGTGGGACAGCGTGACAGGTCGTGTCTGCTGCCGTAGCGACGTCTCGACATGGGCCGGACCAGCAAGGGCTGGGAGCAGGCTGGGTGGGCTGCCCACGCGCTTCTCCTGAGAGTTCAGCGCTGGTGCATGATTATGCACGAAAAACTTGCTTCAGAAAGCGGTCGTTCTTCGTTTTACTTGCGGTGTTGCTGCGCCCTTGGAGCTAGCCTGAGGCGATGAGAAGCGACAATGGTGACGCATCCTGGACACCTTAAGCCGAACAGGATGTGGCGGAACTGTGCGCTACTATGCTTGCCATCGCGTGCGGCTTTTGAATGATCGCAGGGACAAAATGTGTCGCGCAAAGACTCTGATGCTGTCATCCGCTTATGCACGCAGTATCTTAAATGAGTTTAAATCCCAAGTTGCGTATTCCTTATGAAAAACGTTGTTCGACTTCATGCACGCCCAGTCCTCAATCATCAACATGTTTTTCTACCGAATCTTCTGGGCACATTTCACAAGAACTCTTTGGAGCTTGTGCAAACAACTCAATAGGATTTAACGATCCATAAATCTGGACGAGATGCACGAAGATGGCAAACAAAGTTAAGATGAGAATGTCATCAGATTAAGTTAAGTCGAGTTCCATTATTCAGTAAACTAAAGATGGTTCATAAAAATGGAACCAACATGTCCAATGTAAATGAAATTGACTTCCCGAGGTTCTTTTCGCCAATTGTATTGCATGTGTGTGTCCTTACGTCAGGGTATACACTGTAGGGCTTGGACTGCTTGTGCCAAAAAGGCTTTGCAACTACAAACAATAGGGATGGGTTTGAGTGGATGGCTTTCTTTTTTCACATACAAACCCGCCGTTTCCAAAACGTGTCAGGTATGGATGAAAATGGAATAGCTATTGACGTCGTTATTAGCTGCTAGAGCAAAGCGAAGATTCTAATGTTTGTGGCCCCTGTAATGGTGATATCATTAACAAGTAACAATTCAGATCCATTGTGCGTCGTGGACGATCGAGATCATGACAGAGGAGCGTATAGTCCAATGATAGCCCAACACATGGTATTAAAGTGTATGAAATCGTATGGAATCCGGGCCATTTGGGAACCTTCGCAAACAAGTTTAATCGATATATTTGGACGTGCGCACTGCGTGCCAGCTTAGAAGGCATATTTTCTCTGCTTTTGTCTTCGCGCGCTCATCCACGAGTCAGGTTGCTTGATGGCTGATTGGTGCACTGGTCAGGCCCCGCATCGTGGGTTAACAAAACCATTGAGGCAGAAACACTCTTGGACTAGGGTGGGGGGTGACCAATTTTTATCGCAAAAAGACCGCATGAGTAAAAAATTATATCGCAAAAAAACCGTATGGGAGTAAAATATTCAATTCACAAAAGATGGAACTCGTAGGCCAGTGAGAGAGGCTCCAGCAAACAAAGACATACATTTTAAATTGGCATGGACGTAGTATCATGAACATGACAAAACTGTTTTTGTTCTTAACATCTTAGGTCATTGAAGTGAAACAGGATGTATTAAAGAATAGTAATTCAATAACAATGTGATGAGCATCAAAAATTATCTAGCACCAATGTTTTGATGCTGCGCTTTGCAGCATCAAAACATGCTGCATTCTTTTACACAAAATGAAGCCAAGGGATTCAGCAACAAAACAACAACAGAAAATTTGACAAGCATAAAACACCCAAACAAAAAGGCCTTGGACTCCTGCACATCAGCACATAACCAAGTCAAACACAGCAGACATACTTCTGGCTTCTGTTAAGATGAGGTCAGGAAAAACAAACATTATGGCACTGTTTGTTACAGAGTACCCATGCTTATTTCCATGCACGTAACTTAATTAAACCCAACCCCGAGAAACCTTGCTTCATCTCATTTCTTTTAGCCTGTTTGTCCCACAGCAACATTTGTGAGCCATTGATTCTTGCACAATTCCTGTTGCCAATACCATGCGATTAACCAGCTTAGCCTAACATAGAGTAGCCCATATGTTGAGCATGATCTCAACTCACCTCACTTAGCTGTTGACAGCAGCATTTGTGATAGCAATATAATGAAGCTTATTTTCGGGTGGTTTGAACTTGTGCTTTTAATTAACCAACTTAACCTAACTTAGAGTAATCCATATTTTGAACATCATCTCAACTCACCTCACCTGTCTGTTGACAGCAGCAGTTGTGATAAAAACATGATAACGCTTGTTTTTGGCTGGTTTCAACTTGTGTTTTTGTTCAGTTCAATTGTGTCAGCATTCTAGAACCAGACAAAGTTGACAGCACACAACAAAACACCACAACTCACTAGGCACGACTAATTCTTATTGTCATAGTTAGCCTTTGTCAAGGGCAATAGCAGGTATGCTTTACATAACAACCTCTCTTCTCCAAATGTAACATAACTGATAGAAGGTCACACCAGTTTTGCTGCTTGCCTTTTCAGCTGTAGTAAAGATATTCATTTATGTTTGTTTACTCATATTAAATGACAAAGTTTGAGATGCTTTGGACATTTTGACATTTTGAATGGAGTAGTCTGACTTTTTGCCACATACCAATATCTACCTCATATTGTAATTACTATGTAGGTTAGAGCACTCCTGTGTTAAAGATATAATACATATCTACAGTACAGTCATTTGCCTAGTTAGAGAACCATGGCTTCCATGGAGAACATCTGGTCAAAGTAGACATGTGGGGCTACTTCAACAAATTTAAGGCAATTAATCAGCCGGATGGAACAAAATAGTTAAATTACATGTCTTGTGGGATCATAATGTGTTTTATGAAAAAGTTTGATGGGCCAAAACAAAACATGGGTAAATCTGGCTACGAATACTGTGGTGAAAGCAGGTAACGCAAGCAATTAATTGCTCCACAGGACACTTACTGGCCTTTTAAGGGCAGGCTTCTCTCTGCTCCCCACACAAAATGTCAGCACCTTTCGCATTTTTGCTGACAGACAGGCTCATCCAGCCCACCCCAACAATATAATATATCGGTCATGCCCGCCAACCTGCAAGATTAAAATGCGAAACAAGTGAGAGGAGGCCCGCATGATAAACAGCTTCAGTTGTTGTTGTTGGTTTAGGGCGCATAGCCTCTTGGGCCCAGGCGTCCATCGTTGAAGTGTTGTCTTAGAAGTTTGGTAGCACAGGTGGTAACTAAGCGCGACAGAGGATAGAAGGAATGTGTCGCACTGGTCAGGAATTTTCGTGCAGGATAGTGGTGTAGCAAGGAGGTGCAGTAAACGGTGTTAGTTTCTAGAAAACTCGGTGTTAAATGTTCAGATACATTAACTGATTAGTGAACTAAAACAAGAGAACAAAAGTCCGGTTTTTTTGCCAGGCTCTTTTTTATCATTTTCTTTTAACCGCAGCTTCCCCACATGATAGACGTTGCAGGTTAGTCATCAGTCAGTCGGCAGTCACAACATTGCCGTTTAACAAAGCATTTACCAGATGGAAATTTCACATATCTGCCATGCCGTGTACTCTAACGCATGCACGCACATTCATCTGTCTTCACCATGCTCGTTCAAACCTCATCCATGTAATCTCCTCTGCTTACGCACACGCCCACGTATCACACATATACACATATTTGCTACACATAATTCCTATACCACTTCCTTGCTTCTCACATTTCTCGAGCATCCAGACATCGTACGCAGATATGCACGCAAGCTTAAATTATACATAGAATAAACAACTCATTTCAAACAATTACAATATAGTATAAACAACATGGCAGCAATCAATGACAGCAAAGCAAAAATTGCACTTGTCCCGCACGCAAAGGCAGCACTTCACAATTGTTTCAGTAGGTCGCAGTGTCGCAAATATTTCATCACTCCATCAATGATGTCCGGGAATTGATTTCCTACCAGCGACCTCACACAAAATTGTGCTCCGGACCGTTGACATAGTGTTACCAATGATCGTCTTTCGTGAAAATATACGGGACATTCAAGAAGAATGTGATACACTGTTAATGGACACTGACATCGTTCCCATTCAGGTTGGAGGTTTCTATCTCTCATGTATGAGTGGGTATAGCGAGTATGCCCAAGTCTCAGCCGGCACAGCACTATCTCTTCGCGTCGGACTGCTCGCTTACAGGAGATCCAGTCTCCTACCTCTTCTTTGATGCGTTTTAAATTAGTCCTAGGGTTGTAATCTGTCCAATATTTGTTGAATAATTCACGAATACTTCGACGCACTTAAGGAAAATAATCTTTAGGACCCATTTGAAAATTACACACGTCATTCAATCTTACAGCCATCTTTGCTTGTGCATCCGCTGTCTCGTTTCCACGTACATTACTATGGCTTGGGATCCAGAGGACAATGATTATACTGCCCATTTCAATAAGCTGACTGACCGTCTCTAGTAAGTGGATCACGATCGGGTTTTCAGAAGTCGGATTTCCCAGGGCTGTTATAATGGACAAGGAGTCTGTGCATATAACACATTTGAGGATGCGATTTGTATGTGTATAATTCAGAGCCTGTAATACTGCGAATCCTTCAGCTATAAATATCGAACAAAGTTCAGGAAGTTTAAATTTTTGACGTCTTTCACCGTGGACAAAAGCACATCCAACTCCGTCTGCACTTTTTGCTCCATCGGTAAATATTAACTCGTATTCTGTATGCCTGCTTCTCAAATCATTAAACTCACATTGAATTTACACTTCATCTAGCGTTCTCTTGCTCCTGTTAGTCAACTTTATCAACGTACATTTACGTAATCTCCATGGCGGAACGACGCTGCGTTTTAAGGTCACCTCTTCTGGGAAATCGAATCCTGTTTCATGGCACATATCAAGTATTCTCTCATATAGCGGGAAACCAGAAATCCTTTTCATATATCCAGTCTCTACCTCATGTAACGCAGCCTCATTGGCCATAAGTTTTCTGCATGGATGATCCTCTCGACTTAGTATCTTCAGGGAATAACGGAGAGACAAGTCGCATCTCCTCAGTCTCAAGGGAAGTATGTCTGCTTCAACCATCAGTGGTAAAATGGGCAAAGTTCTAAAGGCTCCAGTAGCAATTCGAATGCATTCATTTTGAATAACATCAATCATTTCCACTGCCTTGTTACGGGGACCATCAAAAACTTGGCATGCGTACTCTAATATCGGTCTTATCATGGCTTTGTATATTCTCAATAGTGTAGAACGATCTGCGCCACAGCCTTTTCCAGATAAACATTTTAATATTGATATCCCTTTGACAGCTTTTGTTTTAATGTACTGCATCATCGTGTTTAAGTTCAGCCTAGAGTCCAGCATCACTCCCAAAAACTTGACAGTGTCGGTGTATGTTAACGGTTGGTTATATATATGTAAGTTAGGTATGTTCGTCATCTCTCTTGCCTTCATATACCTTCGAAATACAATTGCGTTGCATTTGTGAGGTGAGAAAAGGAAACCCCACCGATCAGCCCATGCACCCACATGGTTCAACGCCCCCTGCATTTTATTAACTAGATGAAAAATTCTCCTTCCCTGCACCCATAGAGAGCAATCGTCAGCGTACAGCGCTCGGGACACTTCACTCGGGACATTTCCACACACGTCATCAATCATGATGTTAAACAATATCGGGGATATAACTCCTCCTTGGACTAAGCCGTTTTCCTGTTCGAACGTATCCGATAAAGTTCCATTGCGCACCTGGAAGGTTCTGTTATCAAGGTACGATCTAACGAAATACATAAGGCGTCCTCTAAAACCCATATTAAACATTTTGTGGGCAAAGCAACTTTAGACGTGAAAACAGCTTCAGAGGGCGGAATTTCCCTATCAAACGCTTTTGTATTAGCTGCGCCAGGACTGTCCCAAAGCCACGTACGACAGAATAATGCAGCGTGGTGAGGTAGCGAAACTGGAATTACTTGAATTTATAATTATCGAGCACCGCCATGGAAAAGCGGCTACCTGAGGGTTTAGCAGGGCAAAAAGGCCGTAAAAATAAGTTCTGTTCTTCCAGTCATATCCTTCATTCCCGGTGAATTATTCTCTTCAATCTGCATATTAAACATATTTGGACGGCTGGCAAATTAATTCAAGTTATTGATGGAATATGTGCAAGTCTGTAGTTGTAGAATTTTGCACGGAATTTGATCAATATTTTAAGTCATAGGTGGTATTTGTTTTGGCAATTGGAAAGGAAGAAAAAATGAAGGTGTATTACACTCTTATAATGCCAAGAAAAACAAAAGTAACCAGATAGATATAAAGACTGATAGTTTTTATACAATTTTGTGATCAGCTCATTCGGCTAAAAGACTGTAAAAATGAGTTCTCAAACGGTGATATTATGCGCTTAAATTTCATTAAGAGAAGCATTTCTTGAATTTTTCACTATTGCATTTCGGGAGTGGTGCAATTTAGAGGTCAAGTTTCTTCGGGTTCATGAAATACGTGGAGTAAAATTATCTACCAGGCTCTGCTGGTCTATTTACCTGGCTTTGCTTTGGTAGTGTGGTATCTACACGGTGCGACCAAAAAAAAAATGGGAATACGTGAAAACCTTGTATTTGGTACACGGCCGTGATTTGTGAAGCATTTTGTCACAAACCAAACTTGATGCATGCGAGCGGTTGGAGTCGCTGGGTTTCCCGCTGGAATGTACCTGGCCCCCTTGCTCTGTGCATACACAGACACGATTCAGATGTAGGTAGGCTAGGATATAGCCATAGATAGTCCATGTTCTGTGTAAGCTTGTTTATACTCGATGGTTTCAAGGTTTTGGATGACACCTTAAAACCTCGGAAATGGAAATATGGGTTTGGTTTGTGCGGTTAGACAATATCAGGTATGAGTGAAAAATTCGGATAGAATACGGAGAAAAGAACTGAAAAATTACTCCTCGTAGGTTATTGTTTTACACCCAAAGTCGGCAATTCTAGGGCACTGCACAAAAGTGAAAAATGTAGAATAAGTTACAGTTTTGGTTTTTTGGTTGTGTGAGTGAAAATTTCCATAGAATATGGGGAAAGAAGTGAAAAACTACTTCTGGTAGGTTGTTGCTTTACACCCAAAGTGGGCAATTCTCGGGCACTGAACAAAAGTGACGAATTTATAATAAGTTAGAGCTTCGGTTTGTGTGTGTGTGTGTGTGTGTGTGTGTGTGTGTGTGTGTGTGTGTGTGTGTGTGTGTGTGTGTGTGTGTGTGTGTGTGTGTGTGTGTGTGTGTGTGTGTGTGTGTGTGTGTGTCTGTGTGTGTGTGTGTGTGTGTGTGCTCTTGTGTGCCGTGAAAACAGAGGACCAAATCCGGTTACACACCCAACAACCCGTCACTGCCGAGGTCCGGTATTCACTACCGAGGTCCAAATGCCGGACCTCGGTTTTCAGAGGCCTTAAATGATATATTTAGTCTTGTTTGAACATGTTTATTCGATTTTCAGCTGGTCCTCGAAAAACGTAGTTATATGCATTTTTATTTCCGGTTGTGTAAAGTGTGTTATCTTGGACGAACCGCGCGCGTGCGTAAGTTTTTCAGGTGGCAAGGTCACGTGGAAGAGAATGGAGATGAATAAGGAAATGCGAAATCACGCTGCTCCATGATATGGTCTCATCACTTGTAAGTTGTTTGCGTTTGGTATAAGCATTTAAATCACATTGAATCACGTTGAAACTGGTGATGAAAGATATTAATGTAAATTGTGTTAAGTCACATGGGATACGTAGCTCTATCGCCGCCATTGCGCGTTCTTGGAACGAGCGCGACGGTGACATTGCGGTGTGCGGCCTCTCGGGCGAGAAGACTGGGCTTGCGTTGGATGCAAGTTATTGTCGTCCGGCAAGGTTTTAAAAAGTGAGTAGTAAATATTCGAAAGGGATTGGTGAACCCTGTTTACCGACAACTGTAGCTAATGGAGGACTGATCTGCCTTGATTGATTAGAGAATGGTGTGCTGATAAGGATAGTTGCTGAAGTGGCAAACATTGTGTTAGCTTTTGAAGGTGGTTGAAGAGATTGACTTCAGCAATATTATGCAATTGTCTGGGTAGGTTTATCACGCTAGACCAGACGTTTGTCAGGGGGATGCTTGCAGTTTTTCTTATGCATTTGCAGTGGGTGTTGTATTACATTTAAAAAATGTTGCCGTTAGGTACTTACAGACATGTTCCCCAACCCCCTAGAACAACACGTTTTTAGAGGCTTTGGGCACCAATTTAGCCTTGAAGGGGAAATCATTACAAACATAAGTTTTCCATACATCGGAACCTTAGTGTGTGGTAGATACCAGAGCATAAAAGGGTATGTGCCACATTTGTATGGGTTTCAACTGAAATTAGCCATCTTGAAGATCATTCAGTATGTTACACAGTCCTGCCATTCTTAAGCACCCTTCTAATTTTGTAAACCTTTCTAGTTTCTGATCTACACACCTGCAAAGGTGCGAATATTATTTCGTGGTGACTATTTCAAGGTCATGCAGGCACCCACAACGCGTAATGTCTTCAAATGCTGCCATTTCATTGGCCATGGGGCGATTAAGGCAAGCCATCATATGACCGTTGCGTCGTTCATATCCGGCTTTGTGAATACATTTTCAGACGTAACGGCCGTCGGTTGGCTCAAATCAATGTTGTGCAAGATTACGTAAGTTGTTCAGTGCATTAGCATTAGCAGAGGAGCATTTTTCACATAGCTAAGACAATATTAATAGCCTTATTCGTCGAAGAAAAACCGGGAGAATAAAGATATAGTTGAATTGATATTTCGGCAACATGCCTATATCGAAAAAGTAGCAGAAATAAATTCGAAATTGCCTGCTGGTGGCCCTACCCGATTTTTCAGCTTTTTTGGAAGTAGAAAGCCAGTTCTTACAGGACACCAACTCTTAGAGGATTGAACAAAAAGTTATTGCTAGCCGTTACCACGATACGGTGCTTATATAATAATTAGAATAGGCGACAATACGTGTACATGCAAACTAATTCCAGCAAGTAGGCGTCATGCATTACGCTTCATTCAAACGTACAAACGAGTTGAGGTTAACAGGTATCACAGTCGCGCATCAATTAGACATGCAAGCGATTTCAACTGAACAGACATCGCACATCACGCGTCAGGCGTCACTTCACATGTTAACTATTTTAAGCTAGCACACATCGCATATAAAGGCACATATCATGTTCGCAAAATCGGCCAGGATGAGCTTTGTATGTTAAAATTTGGTCGCTGATTTTTTGCAAGAATAGATTAAATTTTTCCCTACCTGGGTGGTCCTCTGCTCTGTAGACGATTTTGGGCTCTAAAAGGGGCATAGGGTCCACACCTCCCTCGATTTCAGCCTGAGCATGTTTTGCCAAAAAATGGTCACCGAAAGGGGTATTCCCTGTTTTGTTTGAGTCTATGTCGGGAAGTCCATACGTCCCTCACGTTTAAGATACAATGAACGCCTCCGGGGCGCTAAAAACAAAACAAAAAATACTTACTTAGTCCTTAGTTAATCTCCACCCACTGAATAATTTTTAGCATTGTTGCTGTTTCAGGTGATGTTATAGCCACTGGACATTGAAGCGATTGAAGACCAGAAAGCCTTAGTGCGACCGGCTTGATTCAGGTCAGTTGATGTCAGGAAAGTCAAATTATTTAGGAAATGACTACTCTGAAGAGGGTGTGAATCATTTGTGACATGTAGAATTTGTTGTCATCAGCTCTAACCTAGCATTTCATGCATGCTTTTCTTTCTCTATCTACCCCATCACATTGTCCAACACTGCCAACACCACTGCATCGTCCGACCCCCACAAATATGCCACTACACTGCCTGGCTCCACCATCCCTATCAGTGCCTTAACCAGTAGGATGTCATTACAGTGCATGACACCATGCACCCCACCACAATGTCTGGGTCTACCCATCCCACCATGGTGTCTGACCCCTCCAGCTCCATGCGAGTGTCGGCTCCATGCAGCTGACCCCATTGCCCTGCCAGTTTCACCAGTGTCTGATCCTGCCAACACCACCAATGTCTGCCTCCCCCCCCCCCCTACCATTGTGTGACCATAACAGCTCCTGCATGGTGCGTGACCTCAGTGTAACGCCATTTTGGTATCTCATTCCACCATCCTCATCGCTGGTCTACGCAAGCACGTGTCGACTGTACCAGCCCCACTTTATTCTGCAACCAACGCCACCACCACCTGCACCAACACCACTAACATATCGCGGCCTGCAATTATGTAGGTACACCCGCATCCGCGTTATTGAATGGTCTTGTCAACATTTAGTGCTCCTTCTCTGTGGCACCACCGGTGCATGGCGTCATTCTTTAATGAAACATGCAAAAGCATTTTTGTTCTCAGGTGGCTTATATGTATACCATTGGGAGAGTTGAAGAAGTTTAGTCCTCTAAAAGAAGTCCTCCGGAAAGTTTACTGCAACAAAGGTAACTCAGGCTATATTTGGGATGCTTAAGGACTTACGCGCAACAGCATTTTCATATGCTATTTGCAATATGGAGCATGATGTTCTTCGAGAAGGACAGATTTTGGGGCGTTCGGGTCAAGAGTTCGAGCTCATGGGTCCTCGAGAATATTTACCGCGGGCACAGCTACCCGAAGAACAATGAGAAGCATTGGCGATGGTGGAAATAGGCCTCGCAAGCAGTTTCCCTGCCAAATTCGAACAGGTGGGGTGCAGAAGTTGCTTTAAAAAGTTTTTAGTCACTGGCAGTCTCGGTCTTTTCATTGTATGTGAAATGTGTATGGCTTAGGATGTTTGCTGCAACATAGTTTCTTTAATTATTTCCTATGAATGGGACGATTGAACCAAGCCTTGGATCATTACTATATGTTGTTTTACGCATTTTACGACGGGATCAATGATATATATATATATATATATATATATATATATATATCTATATCTATATCTATATCTATATCTATATCTATCTATATACACATATATAGATATATATACATATATACATATATATATATATACATACATATGTATATATATATATATATATATATATATATAATATACATCACCAACGCCGGTTTGTTTGCGCGGGAATCACCGACGCTTTCATGAGCGTGGGGTCCGGCCGCTCACTGAACATAGCTTGTGGTAGCGGGTTTGGCTGCCACATCCGGCTCCGGGCCATAACGGTGTTGCCAAAAATCCATCGAGGGGACACTAAGCATGGTTCTGGTCTGCGCACTCCGGGCAGACCAAAATGCCTGCGAAGATACCTCGTCTGCGGGGGCTAGACAGACGAGTGTCTCGCAATGGCGTGGAGAAGCCCATCCGCAGCAAGGAGGGGTGTCGGTCTTCCAGCGTGTCACGTTGTCAAAAACAGTTACGGCGTTGGTGTGCATTGGGGCTGCCTCCCATCTGTTTCGCGGCCAGTATCACGGTGTGACGTCGGATAGTTGCAAATGCGATGGTCGGGTCAGCGGTTTGGTTGTCTGGTCTTTTTGTAATTTTTGTTGATGCATTCACATATAGCGTGCAATCACACTCACAATACGCACTCGATCCAAAATCATAAATCAAATATATCATAATGTTTGCATCATGGCGCACACTACCTTCATCCTGCACTACCCGCGATATGGCAGTGATCAGAAAACTGTCCACTCTTACCAACCAGCCAGTAGACATACACTTGGGCTAGGGGGGCGTACTCGCCCGGGGGCTGGGATGACGATCTGTGGGCCACCGCCACCTGTCTGTCGTAGTTTCGTCATTTCTTATTGATGCATTGTTTGAGCTTAGAGGCAATAAGCTTTTTACCACAACTCGTTTCGGTTATGCCTCGCTGTCTTACGACTGTTAACCGTATGGCGTGCATGAACAGCAAGGCATTGACAGGGCGCAGTAAGCCTAGGACATCAGGGCATGGACTCGCATTTGCCGCATGCGGTCAGCGATGATACTGGAACTGTTGCTCTTCTCTAAATCGATTCCCATCGCAGCTGTGCGTGCGTGGCTAGAGGAATGAAGACAGGCACGCCATAGTTTGCCAACGGGCGCGCGTACCATGCATGAGGGCCGTCCGAATCACGGTAGCTGCTGATCGCGTTGACGATGAATGTTGGCGACTCTGCTGTTGTTGGCCTAATTTCAGGTTAAGTTCGGCTGCGTGGCTAGAGCTTAGTACGATTTATTGTTGTCCCCCTCTCTCCGCCCCCATCGCCGCCCCATCACTTCCTTCTTCTTGACGGCAGTGTATGTGCTCTAACAAGATGGGTAATATGTACGCGGACGGGAGGCCTGTGGCCTCCGATATTCATTCACGGATTTGCTGTGAACTGGAAAGTTATCTTTCGGGACACGACTATTTCACAGCTATTTTAATTCCACCACCCGTGAGCCATCAGCGTGGTGCATGCCCACGCTTCTGAACACAAGCACAACTTTCTTTCACGTGGGGGTCACAATCCTGTTCTGAACTGAAATTTCTCATATCTCACCCGTTTTCGGCTTTCCAGATTACTCCCCGAGAGCGACACTCGTTAAGGATGCGAGTATTTGAAGTTCCGCTTTCAAGCATTGGACGGCCTGCAAATTACCAATGGAGCAAAACTGTGTGCATTTTCTAGATGATCTTAAATACTTAGCGGTATTCTAAAGATGTAGTTGTGCAGTGTGTAGTTCGTAGATTACGAAACAACAGAGCGGGAATGCAGTTGGCGTTCCGTTTTGGGTCAGTTATTTTGTTTTCTTTTTTCCATGTTTTAAAGTCGCTGTGCTTTATGCTCAGGATCGAAGCAAAATGTACAGGAGTAGGCTGCGATGTGATGCGTGTTGTATAAAACCAATAAACCAAAAATGGCATCTGTCTGCAAAGGGAAAAATCTGGACGAAGTCGACTACCTCAACAGCGCACCAATGGCAGAAGAGGACGGTCCGGAGGACATGGGTGAAGACGATTGTGTGGTGGAGGTCGCAAATATCCTACCTGGACAAAAAGCCAAGAGGGGAAGGGAGACTTGTTTCCGGAGGAGACATCTTCACATCGAGAGACTAACAATGACGCTCAGGAAAAAAACACCACTGGCAAAAAAGACGTATTGCCTGGTGCAATGCGGAAAAGGCAGCTGTGATGAGGCAGCTTGGCATGTTTTTTAGCCACATGAAGGTTTCTGGCCAAGCTGCATGCTTACGTGCCCTGTCAGCAGAAAATGCTCTGTCCTAGCGCTCATGGAGAGATGTTAAATCCATGTCCATAACGTGATTGTTAGAGCACGTCGTAAGGCGAAATGAGTCTCAGTGACTTACACATTAGATGTCGACTTCGTTCACGTTTGGATGATGCTCGCTAGTAAATTTCGCAACGACAAAAACGATCTCCCTGTTGTTGCTCCTGTTTATAGTAGCAATCTGTGTAGGTGGAGCTGATGAACGGTGAAAAAGCAGTGCTCACCAAGGGCAGTGTGGCGAGATTTGCAATTCTGGGCGGAAGATGACACCTAAGCACGGAAATAGACCCACCCCATTGGTAAAAATGCGTTATACCTGAATGTCAGTTTGGAAGCAAATTAGGTGTGTCATTCTCCTGTCGCATCTTTCCAATACAGGATTCAATGCAAATGCTTCTTTCTCTACGTCATTTTTGAGATCCGTTGGCAAATCTGACACCACTACACTTAACCAAAGCACAATTGTTACACTGGGAAGTGGTGGGCCACAGGGGCCTTTGACTAGTTTTTGAAGACTGGAATGGGCACGTGGGCGTTGAGCACGAAATCTCGCATCAGCCAAACAGCCGACATGTTTATGAGGCAGCTCGTTTGGCTTCAGTGACTGACTGCAATGACTGTAACGACTGACTCATTGATTTTAGTGTTGCACGGTCCTCCTTCCTCGGTCAGCAACTGATTGCTACATCCCGCCGCACCATGGATTCCACTTGTATGAAGAAAGTGCATATGCGTAATTGTCACGTATATAAAAACCCAACACACGCAAGCCGTGGGAAAGGCACATTTAACAGGTAGCGTGAGCACGTGACTCACAGCTACACCAACAGCGAACCATTAACCCACACTCAGTCGCATAAGAGGCCATCATTAAGTAGACCGCTGCATTGACGCCGGCACAAGCCGTATCCCAAGAGCGGGCTACAAACTGTGTACCCCACCAATCGAGGCCGCCGCGCACTCGCGCCGCCAGTCACATCCACAGCATTAGAGGCTGTGTACTGTCGCCCTAAGACACCGGGGTTCGCGAGCAGGGTCGAGCAACATGGGCTTTGTATACTGACTGGAACGCCGACAGTGTAGAAGAGACTGTCTGAGTCACCTGCGAATGAGATGAGCGGCGGCTGCCCACCGAAGCACCTGAAACTGCAGTAGCTCGGTCAGCAGATAAACAGTTCCAGCAGCACCTCGAGTCAATTTTTCCACCGCTGTCTGGAGCGTCGCCTCCGTTGCCCGCTCCTCAGCCCCGGCCGCCCTCTGCTGCAACCGTTGCAACAGCAGAAGCTTCGGGAAAACCGCCGTCGAGTAGTGTGCCGCCGACCGGGTCATTGATGCTTTAGCACTGTTAGCACTATTAGTGCTAAAGGGTCATGGAAACCCAAAAGGCGTTGGTTGCCCTTTCTCCTACTCTTATCGGGCCGTTGGGGACGGAAAATATTTAGTGTCCCGGGTGTCCAGCCGTCGGGGCAAACACTCATCGGGTAGTTTAATGAACTGCAGTCATTTGTTATGCGGTCCGAGACGATTCCACAGCATGGAGCCAATGTCGTATGGAGGTCGATGGAGCCAAAATCCGTTGGTGATATCAACCGGCCTGGGGAGGGCTTTTTCATGAAGAGTGTTCAGCAGGTATTAACATGGCGTATGCTACTATTTATCCGACTTGATTTAGACTTTAAGGGGACGACCGGAAAGTGTACCATGATAAAATAGAGTAAAACGATTTTTATATTATAGATGAATGATTTAAGCAGCAGAAAGCCTACAATCCGCCGTTATTTGCCTATATCTGAACACAAACCAACAGCCTGACGCGCAAACAGGAGCGCAGGGAGGGAAGGCCACAGGGGGCACGTTCCCCCTGCCTAAGGTTTCAGGGGACCCGAAGGGCTTCGGGATTTACGATTAAGGGCCTGATTTGAGGACCCAAAGGCCAGAAAGGTCGGCTGGAAGACTATTCAGAGCCCCGGCCGCCACAATGGGGCACTCCAATGCCAGCGATATTTTTGTTTGGGGGGGGGGGGGGGCTTTCACTATTGGGGAGCCCTTTATCAACCTTGTGCGTGCCCCTGGCCCATTGCCAAGGCTCTGGCTGCGCGCTTGTGCACAAGGTAGCATATTGATATCTGGCCGTGTTTGGTTTGTCGCCGTCATCTTTCAAAGGTGGCCGCGACACTGCTTTATGAGATGGTCGTTGCCTCGCTGATAAATTAACATGTTGGTTTCAAGCGATACATTTGTCGACAAATATCCAAAACAGACTGTTCGACATCGTCTCTCACCGGTAAAGGGGCCCTCAGTTTCCCAGCAACCCCCAAGGAGTCCTTCCGAATGATGTTCGAGGCCCCCGACCTGAGAGCCTTTGTCCCTTTGTCCTTAATTTCCAAGTGCAACTCCCGGTCCTCAATACACAGCTGAATATGACAGAAAAGTCACACACGGTCCTCTGTTATCACTATGTCCTCGGTATTTTCAATTGCCAGTGTAAGCTAAAGATGGCAGCTTTACCCCTCGAACGACCCATCCTGTTCTTAAACAGCCAAATGGCTGCATGGCCTTCCAATTTGGCTGCGATGCCGCCATTCGTTCGGGTGGTTCTCGGTAGTGACGGCTGAGTCAGGTGTCCCGTAAAGCACGGCACACAAGTATGTGTGTGTGTGTGTGTGTGTGTGTGCGTGTGTGTTTGTGTGTGTAACTTAAGTATCAAAAACAACGCGAATACTCTGGGGCCGATATTGCTAGAAGAAAATGGAATGCGCGTTTATATAGCTCCTTGCCTGAGACTCTTTCGGTCGAGGCTGCGAGGCTCGCGATCAAAACAACATGCAAGATTTGCATCTGTGCGATTGCGCTTACATCTTTATCTGTTCTGCCAAGATTCAACAACCCTTGAAAGACCATACAGCGCATATATCCTTAGTTTGCATTCGTAACTAGACCGCACACGGACGGCTTTACACATCGACCAACACCTCTGCAAGCACGATTCGCTCCTCCGTGAACAGTTTTGGTTTGTGTTACTGCCATCTAGCGTTTTGGAGATATGGGTCCCGTTTTGACCTGCATGGCGCACATTTTTTGCGACTGGCATGTTTTGCGGTTTGCATTGTCGTCGTACGGGTCACAAATGCTTCGAATTTCATGGCTGCTGATAAAGCACGTCTAATCAAGCAGCTTGTATGAAAATACATTAACATTTACATCACATATCCTAGCTAACATGGAATCCTGATGGTAATACTACGTAATGCCGTGATCAACGCTTGCAAGTGCATCGAATCAGGCAATTTGCCTAATTGCAAACTCGATGTTTACAACCATTGATCACAACTTCAGACATTCTTCAGAAGCACGTGGGATCATTCCCGAGAAATTGTGCTGTACAGTTTCCAACGGGTATCACACCTGTTTCCACACTCTACTTGAACGTGCAGAGCTTTGGCAGCATTGCACCCTACCCAATCAACAGTTCCCAAAGACGTAACTCAGTACGGCCATGGCCAAGACTTGGAACAGATCCCAATAATCCGGGGTAGCGGCGTCACGAAAGCACGCCATTTTGCTGAAAATAGAAGAGAGATTCATACTGGTGCAGGAGTACGTCACCATGCACGGCGGGGGGGGGGGGGCACAAGAACTCGGGTGATCTTTCCTGTGCACGGTGGCGTTGTACAGGGGCCACACAAACCCGAGTGATCTTACCTGTGCACGGTGACGTTATACGGGGGCACGCACAAACTCGAGTGATCTTCCCTGTGCACGGTGACGTTATACGAGGGCCCACATAAGCTCGAGTGATCTTCCCTGTGCACGGCAACGTTATACGGGGGCCCACACGAACTCGAGTGATCTTACCTGTGCACGGTGACGTTATACGGAGTCCCACACGAACTTGAGTGATGTTCCCTATGCACGGTGACGTTGTACGGGGGCCCACACGAACTTGAGTGATGTTCCCCATGCACGGTGACGTTATACGGGGGCCCACACGAACTCGAGTGATCTTCCCTGTGCACGGTGACGTTATACGGGGCCCACACGAACTCGAGTGATCTTCCCTGTGCACGGTGACGTTGTACAGGGGCCCACACGAACCCGAGTGATCTTCCCTGTGTACGGGGACGTGTGCAGGGAATACGAACTCGAGTGATCTACCCTGTGTGCGGTGGCATGTACTTTAGGGTGTGTCATCAGTAACAAAGCGAAATGAGACAAATATTTTCCATGGCGCTGGAGCCCAAAAGTACATGGCATAACAAAAGCTCATTCCAAAAACTTAAATTCGTGATGCACGAGTTGATCGAAATATCATTTTAAACCAACGCACGGCGTTGCGGTCACCGTACGCTGGGTGACGTCTGATGGGTGACGT